ACCCTGGGCAAGTCACTTAACCCTGATTGCCTCACCAAAAAAAAAAAAAAAAGGATGATTCCTGGTGTGGGTATTGACTTAGAAAATTACATATTAATGTTATCTATATTTTATTTTAATTTATTTTGTTAAATATTTACCAATTATAGTTTAATCTGAGTTAGACTACACTTCGGAATGTTGTAGGCTAAATGCCGCCCCAACCCCCCACCCCCGTGTGTTTAAGACCTCTGAGCTAGAGTTCTTAGTTGAGTCTAATAAGATAAAATTGAGTAAGGATAAAAAAAAAGTCTTGCACTTGGGTTTAAAAACTATTAACCTTATAAGTATAGATAAGGAGGCATGAATAGTTAAACATATTTAAAAAACTGTCTGGGGGTTTTATAAGTTCAATATGTATGAGTCAGCAGTGTGGTGTGGATGATGAAATAAGCTAATTTGATCAGAGCTGCATGAAAAAGGGCATAGCTTCCAGCAATACAAGTCATAACCCCCCCTGGACTTTGCCCTCACCAGGCTTCATCCTGAGCATGGTTTAAGAAGGGTATGATAAGCTGGAAAGTGTCCAGAGGACAGAAACTAGGAAGGTCCTTAAAGGTTGATAGATGAATCTGGAAGTGATTAGCTAGAAGAAATGAAGACTCAGCAGGGATGTGATAGCTTGTCTTCACGCATTTGAAGAGCTGGGATTTGGAGAGGTATTGGACTCCTCCTGCTTGGTCCCAGAGGACAGAACCAGGAGCAAAGAGTATAAGTAGCCCGGAGACCAATTTAGGCTTTTGATGTCAGGAAAAACTTCCTAACAGTCGATCACTTGTCATATATGTGATAGTGGGAATTCCTTTTGTGCATGAATTAGACTCAGCGTCTGCCAATACTCAGCTCTACCCTTTTCTTAAATGATTCAGTCATCTTCCCAAACATCAATTATTGTCCCGTGCTTCAATCTAACAATGCCATCAGTGTCTACTAGAGTGCATCAAAAAGTAGCCCCCAACTGCTAGATTTTTTAGTTTTTAGGTCTGCATTCTCTGGGTTTTTCTTTCCTCCCTTGCTGTGATATCCTTTCCCCTCCCCTAGTTCTTAACCTCTTACTAGAGTCAGGTGCCTTCCTCTAGAAAGTACCTCCCAACTTCTAATTTGTTGCTTCTCTCTAGTGGGCTTGAAAACTCAATCAACAAATATTCATTAGAATTGTGCCTAAAATTTAAAACTCAAAAGCATATGGAAGTAATTGTTGAAAACTAAAAATAAATTAAAAAAAAAAGAAGAAAAAGAACTGTGCCTAAATCAAAAGTTAATATTTGTGTCTAATGGTAGCCATGGTTGGGGGGGGGAGAAAAAAAGGCATTTATATGATTTTGTTGTATAGTAAATTGTGTATAGTATATTTGCAGTTTGTGTGCAATCATCTTTTTATTGTACTATGTTATAGAAATGCTTGTTTTAGTCCATAAATTAAAAATGAAATAAGTTAAAAGAAAAAAAGAGGATGAGCTAAAAGTGAGGATGTCCTAGAGGTTCTTATATGGATCGTATTCATGAGGTTTAGTGCACAGACTTTGTAGCCCTTCAAGATTTTCTTTGCTCACTTTCTTGTTCTCGCATGTATTTGAGATGATTGAATTTTCTGAGTCAGAAATCTCTCGATAAATGAGGCATTACTATAGGCTAATTGAGAACAGTTTATTGTTGACATGAGGGCTGCAAGTACAGCATGCCTGCTGGAAATGGGTAAGCTACAGTTTACAACTTACAAGATGTTCCAGTCCCTTTGGCTTGAGTTTGAAGGGGGTCTAGAAAACAAAGACTTATTCAGAATAAGTGAAATGAAGCACCATCTTCCGCCATTGAGTGGAGATTCTATGCCTGAAATAACTGAGTAGAAGCATCTTGATCTATAATTCCCACAGGGATGACTCTGATATTTCAAAGCTCTTCATTCTCTTCTTGGGGTTTTTCTCTTTTCCAGCTCTCTCAAAAAACATGTTCCTTTCCCCTCAGGAGTAGCCTAGTTATAAAACAAAACTAGTTTTTCTTGAGTCCTTACCTTAGGGGGAAGCACTAGTTTATTATTTTTTTAATTTATTTTTTGACTAGGCAATGGGGTTAAATGACTTGCCTAGGGTCACACAGCTAGTTAAGTGTCAAACGTCTGAGGTCACATTTGAACCCAGGTCCTCTTGACTGCAGGGCGGGTGCTTTAGCCACTGCACCACCTAGCTGCCTCCAAAAAGTAGTTTAAAAATTCTTGAATTCAAGTGTAAAAACTGGTGCCTGCCTCAAAAAATACTCAGAATGTATCTATAGTTGACACATGCTGTGGGCTTGGAATCCAAAGGCCTGGGTTCATATCCAAAGATTTTGCTACTTACTTCCTGTGTGACCTTGACTAAGTCATTTCATTTCCCTCAAGTTTAAAATGAGGGGGTTTCTCTGGATGACCTACCTCTAGGGTCCTTTCCAGGTCTAAATCTGTGATTCTATGACCTTTGCCAGCCTAATTCTGTGTGAATCATGGCATACCTCTTTATTAGCATACACAGACAGGATGATTTTGGAGATTGGGAAATTTTTTTGCATACAAATTGGCATAAAGTCATAGAAAACTAGAGCTGGAAAGGATTTGATTAAAAACACTAATTATTGTAGAGTTCCTACCATCTGTGTGGCACTTTGTGAAATGTTTTCCTCATAAGAATTCTGAGTCAACTAACGCAAGTTACTTAATTATGTTTTTTTAGATGGAGAAATTGAATTGACTTACTCATGGTCCCACAGCTAACTGCCAAGTGAAGGCTCAAAACAAAGACAAAAATGAAACAGTCCTTGTCTTCAAAGACCTGGCTTTACACTTCCCGAGATCTCCCAACTCCCAACATTACCTGCCATTTGTATCTATACATACCAAGCCAATCAGAGTATTATGACATTTACCAAGATCATTCAGGCTCAAACAAAAGTTTTACCTGAAATATCACTCAATTGACATAATGGTGTTTAGGGTGTTTTGTGTGTTTGAATTGTCTAGAGAATTGTCATCATAACCTCGTGGTCATATGTGTGGTCATAACTTTTACTCTAAGAGTCTCAAAATTTCTATGCCAAGATTATGAACATGATGGTCAGCAAATGATACTTTCAAGTTATTTTAATTTAATTTATAAACTTTATAAATAAAATTTGTTTTATACAATTTAATTATAAAATTCCCTGTTATAAGCTCTTTGAGGGCAGGGACTGTCTTTTTTTTTTTTAAGTAAATTGAGGTTAAGTTACTTACCCAGGATCACCCAGCTAGTGTCAAGTGTTTGGCCTGAGGCTGGAGTTGAACTCAGGTCTTCCTGACTTTAGGGCAGGTGTTCTATCCACTGCACTGTCTTTTGACTCTTTTCATATAATCAACTCTTAGCACAGTATCTGACACATAGCAGGTGCTTAATAAATATTTGTTGATTGACTCTCTGAATCAATTATGGAATTTTAGAAACAAAAGGGACACTAAAGATGATTTAGTTCAACCCTGTCACTTTGCAGAATAAAGAATCTGAGACTTACAGAATTTGTACTTAGCCCAAGTCCCCATGTTTGTCACCAGATTACCAGTGTAGTACTCTAGGTAGCATAATGGATAGAGTACCAGGCCTGGAGTCAGGAAGATCTGAGTTCAAATCCCATCTCAGATACTTACTGTGTAACTTTGGGCAAGTCATTAACCCTATTTGCCTCATTTCCCCCCTCTGTAAAATGAGCTGGAGAAGGAAATGGCAAACCACTACAGTATTTTGGCCAAGATAACTCCAAATGGGGTCACAGAGTTGGACATGACTGAACAACAACAAAAACAACTCTTGTCAGTATCCAGTGCTACTAAAATCATTTTTACAGAGCTTAGGAATCAGATGCATTTTTTAATTTTAATTTTATCTTTTATTATTTTGAACTTGACAAACACCCATAAACATGTATGTTTCCATATGTAAAGAACAGAAAAAGAGAAGATTGCATATCAAACTGTGATCTTTAATTACATATAGCTAGTTTAAAATTTTTTTAAAAAATTCAACAGGTTTATTTCAAAGCTGTTGTTCCAGTCTGAATCCTACGAATCCCCTTTCGTGCAATTCTGCGCATTTAAAAAGTGGTTCATTTATACTTTTTTTTTAGTATCACTATAGCCAAATCCTCACCCCTTCCTGCAGTTATTCTCTTCCAAAATTTTTTTTAAGTCTTTTTTGTGATAAATAATCATAGTGGACCAAAACAAATCCACACATTGTTTGTGTCTGAAATGCATGTCTCATTCTGCATCTCCAGCCCATCAACTCTCTTCCAAGAGATAGGAAGTATGCTTAATCATTAATCCAAGCAAGCTTCATCATTGGTCTTCTGGAATCATGGTTGGTCATTAGGTGGATCAGAGTTTTTATCTTTCAGACTTGTTTTCCATTACAATGTTTCAGCCATTGTGTGAATTGTTCTGACTCTTCTCATTTCATTCTGTGCCAGTCCTTCCAGACTTCTCTGAATCTAGAACTTGAGGCATTGCTTATGGTTAAGCAATAAGAAATCTGATGCATTGAACTACCTCTGTACAATCACTAGCACAATGGTGCACACAGAAAGGTAGCAAGTGAAATGTGATGGCATCACAGTGTTTACATGAGCTCCCAGGTTGATAATCTGTGAGAACAGGAATATTATCTTTTTGCAACAGAAAGAAAATTAGCCTGGGCCAGCAAATACAGGAAATATAAAGAATCTGCAAAGACCCTTAAAAAATTACAAAGAAAAAAAAAAGTAGAACCCCATGGCACATACCAAAAGAATCCTGATGAAGACTTAAAGGGAGTGACCAAATAATTGTTTTGATACATTATGAATTATAATTAACTTAAACGTCATAGTTGTGAAGCAAATTGGGCTGCTTGTAGTGATGTTTGCTGTCAAACTTTTAATACAATTTTTTAAAAAAGTGAATCACTTTCCTTTTTTTATAGACTCTGGTTGAGATATTTGAGAACATTAGTACCACAAACATCGCAGATTTCATTGCTGGACTGCTTACCATTATTATTTGTTTAGCTGTTAAGGAAATAAATGATAGATTCAAACACAAAATTCCTATTCCTATTCCTATAGAAGTGATTATGGTAAGTAGAATATGCATTTATTTACATAAATATAGTGACAATATTGCAAGAAGAGATATTTTTAAAAATCAGAGATTTTTTTCTGTCTTTTTTTTTTTGCTTTATTTTAGACAATTATAGCTGCAGCCATTTCATATGGAGTCGACCTAGAAAAAAAGTGCAATGCTGGCATTGTTAAATCCATTCCAAGGGGGTGAGTAGGGTATCCGTCTTTGGTAATACTAATATAATCATCTTAACTCAATATTTTAACATTAATTTAATTATCATTAAATATTAATATTAATTTTATTCATTCTTGTATTAATATTAATTTAATATTAATATTTAAACAGAGCCCTTTATATCAAATTGCTTTTCAGGAGTATTCCTTCAATGGCCCTGCTCATAGATGTACAAATCTAAAAGAAATATCTGCTTGTATAAAGAGTGAAACAACTAGTAATATTGTCTAGACTAGAGAGTTCTCTTTATTTGAACACAGCCTGCAGCTTTTCTTTTTCATTCTCTTTTAAAAGTGCTTACAGAGACTTAGCTAGCTCCAGAGTTCTGATTTGGGCTTGTGTATGCGTCATGACAATCTAATCTGGTTAATATGGGCCAGTAACATCAATTGCAACATGCAGAGGTGTCTTGGAAAGAATCAGAGACCCTGTTTTCAAATCTCAGCTCAGCTATTTCCTACCTATGTGACCTTGGGGAAGAAACCACCTCTCTGGGCAGCAGTTTCCACATCTATCAAATGACCACTACTAAGGTACCTTTTGGCTCTCAGTCTCGATTTCTACGGGCCAAATTTTGCACTCAGATTGTTCTTTGTAGCTTTTTGAAGTTTATATTTGCAGCACTAAAGTCTTTGGATGACATCCACCAACTGAAATGGGATTGATAGGCATTTCTTCGGCTTGGTGTGGTGGGGAGAGTGGTAGGCTAGGTAGACATAGAGAAACCTCTGTTTCAATTTGAAGATCTTTCGTGAAGGATTCATGTGATATTGAAAAAGTCTCTTCACTTGTCTGTGTCTCAGTTCTTTATTGGTCAAATTAGGGTAATAACCCTTGTACTGCCTTTGCCATAGGCTTAGGAAGAGAAAATGCATAGCCTCCTAGCCTAAATAGCCCCAGATACTTGGACAAAAGTAAGGCCTATAAATGTCTTTATAGCAGTAGAAAAACTGACCTAGTTTGCTCTACAAGGAACACCGTTCAGATGGGGGAGGGAGATATCGTAGCAGCACAGTCTGGGTGGCTTTTTGGAAAATGAGGATGAAGAATGAATCTTATGGATGTTGGTGGATTTTCTTCAAGCTTGAAATATAGCAAGATATTTCTAAATTGTATAACGCATCTTTCTAAAGTACAAAAAAGGCCCCTTTTCTTGAGTCTTCTAATGTTCAGCCAAAACAGCCAAAATAAATACGAGACTTAATAAGGAAACAAAATATTGGCAAGCTTCTGACATTTCATGTTTGTGGGATTTAGGTCCTGTTGTCACTTTCCTTAAAGGATTGATCTTAAGAATGGTGGTGTGGAAACTTTCCATTAAGAAAAAAAAAATAAGGGGCAGCTAGGTAGTGCAGTGGATAGAGCACTGGCCCTGAAGTCAGGAGGACCTGAGTTCAAATCTGGCCTCAGACCAAACACTTGATACTTACTAGCTGTGTGACCCTGGGCAAGTCACTTAACCTCAATTGCCTAAAAAAAAAAAATAAGGTGGACATCATTTGCATTCTTGGGAAATGTTGCACTATATGAGGAGCCGTCTATATTGGTCCCTCTCTTTGGGCCTATTTCTGTAAAATAAAATGGTTGGGTTCCTTTCCCCATCTGACATTTTATGTTTCCTTAAGTTCAAAAAACTAGGAAAGAGTTTTCAAAACTATAAAGTATTCTAAAGTTGTACAGATTTGTTATTATTTGGCATTTGGGGTATGATATCTATAAGAGAAGATTTTCCCAGTGAGACTTTGGCTAAAGCTGAAGGTCCACTGAGACTAAAGGACTGAGACAGAGAAAAATTCTTGGGATGTCAAATTGACATTCTCTACCCTAGAATGGTGCCAAAGGTGAATACTTCAATTACAAAACAGTGAGTTTGCCTCCTGGGCATGGACTGGCATGCTGACTTTCATTCCATCTTTACATAAACATACAATTCCCAAAGGATAACTGGGGGTGAAACTGACTAAATTGGAATTAATCACACTAAGGTCACATGGTGTGCCGAAGGAAAGGGCTTTTGAGTCTAGAAGAATTTGTTGACCAGAGGAGCTAAGACTTCTCTCATCTATTGCCTGCATGTGACAAATCACCTCAGAGCTAGGAAGGATGGAGGCAAAGGGAAGACGTTTCCATTGATCTGAAGGCAAGGGTCCTTGCTTTACCAAAATGAATGCAGTCTCACCCAGCCAAGCTAGTGCCTGAAGGTGGCAAAAAGATTCTAAGTGCCCTTTGACTGAGCTCAGAAGGCCAGCCAATTAATCAGGCAGCATCTCTGCCTGCCAACAGAGCCTGGTGAGAAGCAGTGACTTGCTCTACCCACTCCAGCAGCAAACTGACCTATGTAACTGGTCCTTGGTCTGGCTGATCCAACAGAAATTTCCCAGCTAAGCAGCTAATTGACTCATGCCCTGCAGTGAACTTGTGAAGACCCTCTGGGGAGAGAAAGGACATTGAGGCCCTTCGGTTTGAGAGTTGTGAGTTATCTTGACAACGCAAGGTCTCTCCACATGTGCCTTTGTATCATTGTACTTTAAGTTGATGCTAACATTTCCGCCTTCCAATGGTGAATTTGTGGGATGATATGCTGGTGTTGGGGAAAATATTTTGTAACAAAGGACTCACTGAGTCTACTGACTAACTGTTAATGGCAGATGCACTCGCGGGGATCTCTTGGAATAGTGTTTAGAATCATAGCCAACCAGAGTTACTCCTAGGACCTGAAAGTAGTAGTAGCAATAATTCCAGGGAACCTATCTGCCAGTGGCATTGGGAATTGAGTGAATGAGACCTGGTGGAGTCCTTGTAGATACCTAGCTTTTAATGGAAATCTAATCTCTGTTTTCCCCTGTAATTAGTCCTTATCTATAAATGATTGTGGGAATTTAGGATTTAGAGCTAGAAGGGACCTTAGAGCTCATAAAACCCCTTTGTTTTATAGCTAAGGAAATAGAGTCCCAAGAAATAACCTATTGAAGGTCACACAAATGAAAAGAAGCAGAGCTAAGATTCATACCTAGATAGTCTGATTTTAAATCCATTATACTATTTACTGCATTCTACATCATTCTCCCATTCTTTTATCCATAATATTATGAATTTTCTCCTCCAACTTCCAAGCACCCTTATCACGCTCTTCTTCCCTTACATCTAATTCTTCCTCCTTTCCAAAAGAGGCAACTAGGTGGTTCAGGGGATAGAATGTTGGGCGTAGAGTCAAGAAGACCTGAGTTCAAATCTGAACATTTACTAGATATGTAATCCTGGGCAGATCATTTATTCTCTGTCAGTCTCAGTTTCTTCAACTATAAAATGAGGATAATAAACAGCACCTACCTCACGAGGTTGTTACAGAATGAGATAATATTTGTCAAGTGCTTAGTACAGTGTCTGGCACACAGCAAGCACTGAATAAATGCTTGTTCTTTTTCCTTCCCCTTCCCCCTGCTAAAATCAAATTAGTCAACAACTCAGCAAGCATTTATGAAGCCTCTACTGTATTCCAGACACTGTGCTAAGCCCTGAGGAAAGCAAAAAAAAAATAGTCTCTGCTCTCAAGGAACTTATAGTCTAATGGGAAAGATAACACTCAAACAAATATGTGCAAGAAATGTACAAACAAGATGCATACATATAAAGAGATATATCTACATATATGTATATGTACATAGATACATGTATATATACGTGTGTGTGTGTGTGTGTGTGTGTGTGTGTATCTTAATTAAGATGAAGGTGATCTAGGAAAGGCTTCTTGCAGAAAGTGAGATTTTAGCTGAGACTTGGAGAGAGCCAGGGAAGCCTGGAAGCAGAGATGTGTAAGGGGAGAGTGCCAGGCATGGGGAATAGCCAGTAAAAATGCCAAGAGTTGGGAGATGGACTATCTTGTGAGAGGAACAAACAGCAAGAAGGCCATTGCCACTGGATTACAGAATACATGGATGGGAGTAAGATATAGGAAGACTGGAAGGGTAGGAAGGGGCCAGGTTAGAGAGGGCTTTGAAAGTCAGAGGGTTTTATATTTGATCTTCTAGGAGGTCTTTACATGTAATTAGAAAATAATAAATACTATTTATGTATTTTAAGAAAAAAGAATCATGAAGGCAGGTAAACTAACCAAGTGGCTATTGCAATAATTGAAGAGTGAGTTAATAAAGGCCTGTGCCAGGGTGGTGGTAGTGTCAGAGAAAAGAAAGGAACTTATACAGGAGATGTTTTGGAGGCAGGAGAAGGTGGAAACTATAGAATTTGGCAATTGATTGGATATAGGGGGTGACAGAGAGCTGAGGAGTCAAGGATGACATCTGGTTTGGGAGACTGAGTCACTTAGAGGATGGTGGTACCTTGGACAGTAACAGGAAAGTTAGGAAGAAGGGTGAGTTTGGGGGCAGGATGAGTATAATGAGATCAGTTTTTGACACAATGAAGTTAAGATGTCTATGAGACATTTAGTTTGAAATGTCCAATAGGTAGTTGGTGATAGAAGACTGGAGGTCAAGAGAGAGGCTAGACAAATGTATATGAGAATCATCTGCATTGAGATGATAACGGAATCGGGGAGCTGATGAGATCATCAAGTGAAACAGTATAGAGAAAGAAGAGAAGAAGACCCAGGACAGAGCCTTGAGGGGGCATTCATGGCTCTCAAGCTGGAGCCAGATGAAGTTGCCGCAAAGGAGACTGAGAAGGAGCAGTCAGACAATTAGAAGTACAGCTAGGAGACAGTAGTATTACAAAAGCCTATAGAGAGTATCAAGAAGAAAAGGTTGATCAATGGTGTTAAAGGCTGCAGAGAAGCCAAGAAGTGAGGAAAAGCCATCAGATTTAGCAATGAAGGGATCATTAGTAACTTTGGAAAGAGCAGTTTCAGAGGAATGATGAGGTCAGAAGCTATAATGTAGAGTCAGAAGGCAGTAAAAAGAAAGGAAGTGGGAAGCACTCGTGGTAGATGACCTTCTCAAAAAATGTTGCCACCAAAGGGAGATGAGATTGAGATCGATAACTATCAGTCTGAGTGGATCAAATAAAGGTTTTTTAAGAATTGGGCAGATATCAGCATGCTCGTCGGCCAGAGGGAAGCATCGGCAGGGATTTTAATCAGGTGACTCCCAAGGATCATATTTTCCTAGAAGTAAGTTGTGTGCTTCTTGGTGCTTCCCATACTGAATCATTTTCTCTCTTCTTTGGTGTAACCCTTCTGCAACGCATTCTCCAGGTCCCTAAAGCCCTTAATTCTTTCTGTCAAAACTTCCTTTCAGGGTGTGACCTGATTACCAATCATTCATATCTTAGTGTGAACAAGTATAAATTGGCATATTATCTTTCTCTAGGGCACTTCTCTAACTGCAGTGGGAGACCTTGGCCTTTTTAAACTAAAGTCTTTCTCAGGAAAACTGAGGCAACACCCATTCAGTAATTAAAGGTTAAGTAAGAAGTGAGATAAAAGAGGGCCTCCTTTGCCTTCACAAAAGAATCAATCAAGGAGGGGAAGACCTTCCCACTGCATCCTGGGCCATTGCCAGTGGTCCCGACCTATGTCTTGCCACTGGACTCCAGTGACTACGGCCAAGAATGAGAGGCCGATGACTGCAGAACTCTGCTTCACTCAAATCCAATTCGCTTGCAAGTTAAGACAGCACCCTCCTGTCACTCTCCTGATGTCATTGGTCCTCTCTGAGAACCAAAAGACAAATAACAACTAATAAGATTATTGGGGCTTATATGAGCCTTGGTTGAGAAATCTCTTATTCCTTTGTTTAAAAAAAGGACAAAAAACAACAAACAACAATCTTTCTGATTATAGGATGATTTCTTTAATGGAATTTTAGTAATTAGATTAAGTGAGAGAGATACTATTTAAGGCTGCAATCCCTTTCAGGTATCTTCCATATTATACTATGTAGGTGACTGCCTTCTCTGCTTGAATGTAAGGTCATTTCTGCAAATTCCATACCTAAGTTTCTCTCTTTGTGTAGAGCAAAGATCCAGGCTGGCATCTAGGTGCAAATTTCTGGGGACTAGTAACTTAGCCTGTGATCTCACAGCAAATGGGGTATTTTCTTTGCCTTGAAGATAGTGTAGTATAAAACTGATAAAAGCAAACAAACAACCTTAATCTCCATGTTATGGATCTTCACAAAGCCATGAATTTCTTACCTAGGCATCTCAGTATCTATAGTCTCTTCTCAGTCATTCTAACCTCTTCATGCATAAATTAAGTACCTCATGTCATGTTTTAGAAGTGCGTATTAAATAAGTGAGTTGATAAAGGCCTGTGCCAGGGTGGTAGTAGTGAGAATTCAGGAAAAGAGGAAATTCAGGTAAAGAGAATCCAAGAAAAAGGACTCTACCAGAAGGCATAAGTGTATGAAATAGGTTGACATGGGACCTACTAATGGTGTCGTGGAAAGAGCATTAGATTTACAGTTAGGAGTTACGGTTCAGTTGTTCCTAACTCTTTGTGACTCTGTTTGGAGTTTTCCTGGCAAATATACTGGAGTGATTTGCCATTTCCTTCTCCAGATGATTTTTCAGATGAGGAGACTGAGGCAAACAGAGCTAAGTGACTTGCCCAGAGTCACACGGCTTGTAGAAGTCTGAGACCAGATTTAAACTGGGGAAGAGGAGTCTTCCTGACTCCAACCCTGGCGCTTTATCTGCTGTACCACTTCGCTGTCCCAGGAGATTTGGGTTTCAAATACTAGCTCTGACATTTACTACCTCTTTGGACATGGACAGGCTACTTCTTGTTTCTTAGCCTCACTTTCCTCATATCTCAAATGGGGATAGTAATACTATATTTCGCAAAGGGCTGTTGTGAAAAAAAGTAGTTTGTAGACCTTAGAGCACTATGTAAATGTGAACTATTATTAACAAGTTTACAAAATCCAAATTTTGTTTTTTGCAGAGGTACAAAGAGGACTACTGCCTTTGGGGATCCCAAAAGAGCTTAGGTTTAACCTTAAAGAAATAAGCCTTTGTGGAAAGCAATAACAATAAAAACAATGTGAATAAGATACAGTTTGTTGTTAGAACATTCTACATTTCTATATTATCTTTGAGTTATTATACTTCTACATATAGTATGCATGTGAGTTTATATAATATTTGGCAAGTCAAAGAGATACCACTGATTGTAGGCAAGTATGATGAACGCTTTTTCTTTTTTTAAAACCCAATAGGTTTTTGCCCCCTGTTCTTCCATCAGTAAACATGTTTTCTCAGATGGCTACTGCTTCATTTTCCATTGCTGTGGTGGCCTATGCAGTTGCTGTGTCTGTAGGGAAAGTCTATGCTATCAAGTATGATTACGCCATTGATGGGAACCAGGTAGGTTCACCTCCTGTTGCAGAAAGATCCTGCAGGATTGGACCTTTGAGCAGAGCTGTAACTAGGAATTTTTGTGCCTAGGATGAGGGCCATAAACTACACCAGGCCAAGTAACAGGAAGCATGTCCTTCTTTTTAATAGGGTAGGGGGTCAGGGAAGGCAGTTTGTTCCCTGGGAGGTGGTAGAGGCAGAGACTCTAGGACACCAAGGTTCTGCTACAGAGGAAACTGTCTTGAAGGTCAGGGGATGGCAGCTTCCTATTTTGACTATTTAATTTGACTAACTAGGTGCTAACCTGATTAAATGCTATATTGGTGAAAGACTAAAAGTGCCATCTGTACCCTCTGAATCTGGTGCTCTCCAAATTCAGCATCTTGAGGCAATGACCTTTTTAAAGTTCTGCCAAGGCAGAAAAACTTAAACCTGGGAAGAGTTTGGCATTTGCTGAAAGCTGAATCTGCCTCTTCAATAAGAATACTATTACTATTATTACTACACTGATTCTCCATTAAAGTTACCCAAATACTTATCAGTTTGAGATAATTTTGAGGGGTAATGTGGATATTATTATATCACTTCACACTTTTTAAGATTTTTCTTTTTTTTTTTGAGGTGAAGTGAACTGGGCCTGTGATTTCACCGGTGCAGGGAATTTCTCACGAGGAAAGTCTAATTACTAGTTCAGACCAGTACCTGTTCTGAAACTTACAGTCTTAGAGAGTTGGCTGGAACATAGGGAAATTAGGCAAAGCATCCAGGGTTATACAACCAGCATGTGTGGAAGGTGGGACTTGAACCTATATCTTCCGTACTCCAAGACTACCTCTCAATTCACTAAATCCACATTGCCTCTCTTTGAGGCAAACCTAATTTTTTAAAAAGCATTTATGCAGTCAGATCATGAATAATATACACATTTAACATTTCTTTGGCAAAGAACTGTGAATGCTTTACATATAACTCAGAAATCTTCTCAAAGTGTGTTTTTTAATAAGCAATATTTCTAATGTGGCCATTTCTGGTAATATCAGATAGGATTTAAAATGAAAGTCTCTAAACATGCACTTCATTTGGATGGAACAGGGCAGTTACTAGTCCTAGGGCTGAAAGCTCCTTTTTTAAAAACTACAAAACTGTCTACAAGTAGTGCATGGTTCTGAAAAGACAGCAAAGCAATGAGAACAGTTGAATGATGGGTGATCACCCAGAATTCTAGACCTTTCTGTCATAATACAGTCCGTGGCAAGTCTTCAGCAACAGATAACTCCAGAAATGAAAGCTGCAGGTATGCTAATAGCTTACTGAAAATGAGATGAGTGACTTGTAATAGCCTAAAACCAGGGCAATGAAAGAGCTATGTCAGCACAGGGTCAGTAACTGCCCATCATTTCAGGTTCCTAACCTTAAAAATAATTGAAAGTAGGGAGGCTTTTCTCAGGTACTAATTCAGTCCAAACTCCAGGCATCTTGCGGCTTCCCAGATACTTCCACCTATGGCAGCTATCATTAAAAATGACTTCAATGGAAAATGGCATGTACTATTGGTTGCAAAAGTGTTTTTTGTGGAAAGGTCCTATGGAGGTGGGGGAGGTAGTACCTTAAGAAGTAACTGCTGTGTTCAAATGGACTCTATCTTTTTTTGTTTTTTGTTTTTTTTAAAGCTAGAGATTTTTCAAAGTAGATTTGGGAGACTAGAGGAGTAAGAAAGGGGTGAGGCATTTGGCTTCTTCTTACCAGTTTTTTTCCTAGGAGTTTATTGCCTTTGGGATCAGCAATATCTTTTCTGGATTCTTCTCCTGTTTTGTGGCTACCACTGCTCTGTCACGCACTGCTGTTCAAGAGAGCACCGGGGGAAAAACACAGGTAATGAGAGCTCAGCCTGGGAAATGCAAGAGTTTCCATTTATCATCATGAAGAGCAAATTCAAGCCAAGCACCGACCTCTGTTAAAGTTGTCTGTCCACCTTCTTTGCCCCAACACTTAGAACTGATGAAGAATTTATGGTTTAATAATGCAGTTGTTTTGGGGTCTTCTGCTTTAAGGATTACCTTGCTGATATAGCCACATGCCTGATTGTGCTGGGCCAATAATTATTGATACTATGCCAATTAGGAAAGACGTTATTTCTTATTTACTTCTGTACTATCTATGGCTGGAGCAGCTAGGTGGTGCAGTGGATAGAACTCCTGACTAGGAGTCAGGAAGACCTGAGTTCAAATCCTGCCTCAGATATGCACTGTGCAACCCTGGGCAAGTCACTTAACTCTGTTGGCCTCAGTCTCCTCATCTGTAAAATAAGCTAGAGAAGGAAATGGCAAACCATTCCAGTATTTTTGCCAAGAATACCCCAAAAGGGTAAGGAAGAGTTGGATACAACTAAAAAACTGACTGAATAATAACAACTATTTGTGGGAGGGAGGGTTGGTAGAAATATTTCATGGTCTAATGGGGGGGAGGGGACCAGAGCCCTAGAGGCTACATGTGGCTCTCTAGGTCCTCAAGTGTGGCCCTTTGACTGAATCCAAACTTCACAGAACAAATCCCCTTAATAAAAGAATTTGTTCTGTAAAACTAGAGGCCCTCTCATTTTACAGCTGAGAAAATTGAGTCTTGGAGGGGCGAAGTGAACTGCCCAAAGGTCACACAAAGGGCAAGTCGGCAATAATTTCTTAAGCACCTACTAGTGCCAGGTGCTATGCTAAGCATTAGGGATACAACAATGGCAAAAACAGTCTCTGCCCTCATGGAACTCACAGTCTAATAGGGAAGACAACATGCAAACAGCTACGTACAAACAAGACATACACAGAATAAAGTGGGGATGATCTCAGAGGGAAGGCACTGACTGGGAAGAGCTTCTCCCAAAAACTGGGATTAGTAATGCTAGGCATTACTAAGTAGGATACATGTCTCCGTATGGCAACAAAAACAAAAATTTAATAAATTCCTGTCCTCAACAAGCTTCCATTCTACTGGGGAAAACAACATATCCACAGATATGCAAAAGCAAAATATATATAAAGTGATATTAAGTAGTCTCTGGGTTGGGGAAGAGCCCTAACAGCTGAGGGAATCAGAAATGGCCTTTTGTAGGACGTGGCTCCTTAGGCTGAGTCTTTTTTTTTTTAGCATTTACATTGTGTTTTCATTTATTTTTTATTTTTTTTAATATAAATTTATTTATTTTTAGTTTTCAACATTCACTTCCACAAGTTTTTGAGTTCCAAATTTTCACCCCATCTCACCCCTCCTCCCACCCCAAGATGGCATGCATTCTGAATAAAAAATATGGAATGCTTCACGAATTTGCGTGTCATCCTTGCGCAGGGGCCGTGCTAATCCTCTCTGTATCGTTCCAATTTTAGTATATGTGCTGCCGAAGCGAGCACTCCTTAGGCTGAGTCTTCAGGAAAGTTAGGGATTCCAAGAAGTGGAAGTGAAGAGGGAAAACACAGGTGGAGCAAGGGCATAGAGGCAACAGAAGGCATGCTGGGTACAGGGAACTGCAGTCCCTCCCCTTCTTTTGGACTACAGAGGAGTGAGAGGGAACAATGAAATCAGTCTAAAAAGATGGTGTCCTGCCTCTGCTATTTACTAGCTCTATGACCTGGACCAAGTCATTTCCCTTTTCAGGGTTTCTGTAACTCCCTCGGTAAAATGAAGGTGTTGGAATAGGTTATCTCTAAGACTCCTTCAGGCTCTAAATCCTTTGGTACTCTGACCCCAAAATACCTTTCTCTGTTTCTATTGAAATCAAACCCTCCCTTTCCTGTCTCACCTCTTCTATAAAGCCTTCTTTGACTACTTTGAACCATATACTAATTTATACTACTTCTGAACAGAGGTCCTGGGTTCAAATCCAACCTTGACTTTAATGGATTAAAATTGCCCTAATTTTACAGTGACATAGTCTTGCACTTGTATGACCTTGGGCAAGTCACTTACTTAACTTCCTTGTATCTCAGTTTCCTCTTCTTTAAAATAAGGGAGTTATATAGCCTCTGAGGTCCTTTCTAGCTTTAAATCTATGGTTCTATGTTCCTATGTTCCTACGGTATTTTTCTGTGGCTTGTGCTACACAACCAGGTCTTTTATTACATACAACTCCAGGGAATCATGTTTCAGAGGAACTAAAACAGGTTCTCTGGACTATATAGTTAACTGATGGTGAAGCCAAAATTGCTGACTTTTACTTACTGGCTGTTACTTCTAGGCTCAAATGAGACTTGGGGTAGCTGTCTCCAATAATAACGTCTTGGGTAAACTACCCTCCCTTGGCAAGAGTCCTGTGAGATAATAGTGTTCTTGTAAGCTGATATGCCCTTCCACACACAGGCATGTATTATATTTAGCAATGGAAAAGGCCAAGAGTCTAGGAATGAGGAATGAAACAAGCTGAGATATTGTTCAAGATTTAATTACTGAAATATATACTAAGTTCTGAGGTTTAAAGGCTGAATGCATGGACTGGAACCCAGCAGACCATGACCCAAAGGAACTAGCAGTTCTCTCCACGGTTGTGTGACTTTTTATCTCCTGTAACAGCACTCCTCAAAACTGGGCCTTTCTTTGTTAGGCCTGAGCTACTCAACAGCTAATTTTTTATATAGATCATGTCCTAGCTTGGCTTAGGTTTGTCTAAAGAACCAACATCTGTCAGCAATCTGCTTATCTCGTGAGTGTGCCTGTGTTTACATTTCTATTATCAAATCTAATGGTTAGGTTATCTAACTGCTGTCTCATTGAGTGTTTTTAGAATGTCAAAAGATAATTTAGTGAAATACCCAACTGCCTTTTGGAACAAGAGTTAACAAGAGCATAGTTATCACTTTTACCAAGTTTTTGGGTACTGCTTAACAGTTGTTTGACTAAGGGGCAGGTAGGTGGCGCAGTGGTTAGAGAACCGGCCCTGAAGTCAGGAGGACCTGAGTTCAAATCCGGCCTCAGACCAAACACTTGACATGTACTAGCTGTGTGACCTTGGGCAAGTCACTTAACCGATTGCCTCACTAAACAAACAAATAAAACCCAAAAACAACATTTGTTTGACTAATGAGGACCGCAGCCAGCAGTTAAAAACAAAACAAAAGACCAAAATGTAAGGTAGAGAACAGACATATACACATATATCCAGTCTAATTTATTAATTGTTAATAATAATTCACATTTACATAGCACTTTTAAGGTTTGCTAAGCTCTTTCCTCATAAGAACCACTGAGAGGTAGATAGTCCAAATATTATTATCCCTATTTTTTCACATGAAGACACTGATGCTCTAGAGATTAAATGCCTTTCCCATGATCACGTGGTTAGTAAGTATTTGATATAGAATTCATCCCAGGTCTTCTGACTCCATGTCCAGGGCTTTATCCACTAAGCTATGTATGTTCTCCATTGTTGATGGATTTTAACCATTGTGGGGCATTAATATATTATATAATATAGTTGAGCATTCAAAATTCATTTTTTTCTCTCCCACTTGTATTCTGTTATCTCTGATTTTACCTTCCCAAATGACTTAGGACAAAAAACTTTTGTATTCATATAGTTCTTCCTAGCTATGAGTGCTATGATAATAATAATAATAATAATAATAATATCTAGCATTTCTATAGTGCTTTAAAGTTTTTAAAGTCCTTCATATATGTTATCTCATTTAACTTAAGTAAATATTGGTCTAATTTCTTATCAATTAACTTGGTTTCTAGATAGATCTCAATTCTTTCAAACTCTGCTAAGTATAGTTAATTTACCAACCATCGCACATTTTTACTACCCTACCTTCCTATCAGAAAGTATATAGATAATAGAATCAATAAATGCACCTTTCTTACAAGAAAAATTGCCCTTATGTATAGGAAGCTTCCTACACAGTATGATTTTGGGGACATTTGAGAGGTTCCTTCCTTCACACCTTTCCCCCCTCCAAAACCCACTTCTCTTATTTGCAATTCATTTAGCAAGAGACAAAAACCTTAAAATAATTAGGAAGGAAACAAACATTTATTAAGTGCCTTTTATGTGCCAGGTACTTTGCTGAATACTTTATAAATACTCATAACAACCCTGAGAAGTAGGGGCTATTATTATCTTTATCTTACAATTGAGGAAATTGAGGCAGACAGAGGTTAAATAAGTTGTCTAGGGACACACAGCTAGTAAGTTTCTGAGGCCACATTTGAATTGAGGGTTTCCTGACTCCAGGCCCAGCATCCTATTCACTGTGTCTCATCTAGCTCCCTCTAACTAGAGAGAAGGCTGAAATCCCCATATACCTGGGGAAAGTATCTCATTAGTTCAAATTCATTCTAAGATACAAATGACTGATATATCCTTTCCTGAAAAAGAGGAGGGAGGAGGAGGAAGGGGAGACTAAATGAAAAAGCATGAAGCCCTAGGGAGTGGGGGTGGGATTCTACAGAGGGAATAAAAGGACACAAAACTGGTGGTGGTACTGAAGACAGACTTTGCCTGTTTCATAATATGTATAATAGTGTATTGAAAGGGCCCTGAGTTTGACTCTAGCACAAATTGTGCCAGAAGAATATCTGAGTGAAGCCTCCTCAGGTTTATTGCTTTTCTAACTCTTTTAACGTGAAAGCCCAGAAGTAGATGAACCTGTCTTCTTCTTCCCTCTTGATTGCTTCAGTGTCTAGTTTTCCTGTCTCCTTTTCTTTCAGACTTTCTATTGCTCACCTCTGTTTAGGCCCGGCTGTCTAAACTGGTGGCTTCCACCTACTCCTACATTCTCAGCTTCTCTTCCAACTCTTTTTTGACCTTAAGAGAGCTTTTCATGACAGAAAAGGTAAAGCTTTTGAAGTGTATATTGTAAGAACCCTGGTGAAGTTCATGAGTCCATAGCATGATTACTATGTGTTATAAGAGCCACCATGGGATGTCCCAGAAGAAGCAGGAGACATGTGTCCTCCTCAAGGTTACAAACAAAAGATGCAGGACTCTTTGTATCCATAATATGGTTCGTAAATAAACATTTTTTATTAGCTTGAGTAGATTAGAAAGAAAAAATTGTTCCATAAAGTGTAAAGTTTTACTATTGTTGTGATGAAGATGATGGTGATGGTGATGATGTCCAAATTAATGATTTCATCAGTATGAAAGAACTCTTAATGTGTAGGCACGGTTTGGTCAAAGGAGTATGGGATTTGGTGTAAAAGAGCTAGGATTCAAATCTCATTTCTAACACCATGTGGTCCTGGGCAAGTTGCTTCACCTCTTGGTGCCTCAATTTTCTATCTGTAAAATGAGGATGCCAGACTAGTGAACCCCTGAGGTCACCTGCAGCTCTAAATCTATAATCCTGTAATCAATTCTCCCTTCAGTGATGAAGATTGACAATTTGTGGGTCTTAGAGTTGTAAAGTGACTTGCTCATTTAGCCAATAGTTTAACTAGTTCTAGAATCACCTACGTACACCCGGAAAAGACCTTCCCTTCATGTCATAGTTGAGGAGCCTGAAGCCTAAGGAAGATAAGTGACTTGTCCAAAGTCACACAGGTAGTAACTGAGATTTGAATCCGAGTCCTCTAACTCCAAAATCAGTGCTCTTTCTACTGTTATCACGTTACTTGAGGACTTGAACCTAGGTCTTTCTTGTTCCAAGACTGGCCCATTGTGCCACTCTGGGTCTCCAAGTATTGTTATTATTGCTTTTATTATCTTTGATTTTCAGTTCACTTCATCCAGTATTTACTAAGTGCCTATATTGTCCAAGGCTCTGTGCTAGGCTCCAGGGAGATAAAGACAAAAAACTGCAATGAATAGATGAATCTGGTGTGAAGCACTTCTGACATTACAATAATCTTTTGTCCACTTAGGAATTTGGAGAAAGTACCTTGAAGTTCTGGATTAGAGATTATTGCAGAATCCTGTAGGATGTCTAAGAAAACTATCCCTTCTCTCAATATGAAATCTGACTTGACCTCAATATTTCTCAGTTTCTACAGTTACTGTAGCTTCTCTGCCCAAGTGACGTCCTTATTTCTTTCCTCCCTCTGTGTTTTGTGCATAATAGCAACAATAATCATTCCCTCTAATAGCATTGGTATGTGGGGAGTGAAAGGTAAAGAGGAGAAAAGCATTATTGTCATTCAGTGCTTATAAAATAGCTTCCTTGTCTAGAACGATGCCCAGAAGGCATCTCCCAAGGCTGTTGTCTATGGTGAGCTTGGAAACCAAGCAGAAAAAGCAAACCACAGATATTTATGTGAACACTCTTTTTCAGGTTGCTGGCATTATCTCAGCCCTGATTGTATTGATTGCAATTGTGGCTTTGGGGAAGCTGCTAGAACCCTTGCAAAAGGTATGACTCTGCTTTCTGGCACAATTTTCCTGGCACTGGTCTGCAACAAGGAAGAAATAGCAAGAGATTTAAAAATCATCATTTCAGTGAATAACATGGCTTTCCCTGTCTCTCCTGGCAGTCTGTCTTGGCTGCAGTTGTCATTGCCAACCTGAAAGGAATGTTTATGCAAGTGTGTGATGTTCCTCGTCTGTGGAGACAGAATAAGATCGATGCTGTAAGTCCAGGTTGCCCATTTCCTTTGAAACTAGTCCTGGGTATGAGTATCCCCTCCATACTAAGTTGTACCAGCTACCTGGAAAGCCCAGTACTCAAGTCAAAAATAATAAGGCTAAACCAAAAGCAGTGAAATGTCTCATGCATGCTGTACTTTTGTGACGTTCCCGGTACACATATTAAATTGAGCTCCTGGGGAAAATCTATTTCCATTGGGAGCTTTGTATAAGACTCAGAAACTCTGAGCCCTAAACAGCCATAAATCTGACACCAGGAGGTCAAAAAGGCATCCTGATCACAACTCCAAAATGACCTCAGTTACTATGAGAACGATTTTAAAAGCTGAATCCTTTTAAGTTATGTTGTAATTCAAACAATGATTGGGAATGCTTCCTTTGAAGGGCTACTTCCCATTTCATACAAATAATTTAAAAGCGGGAGAAAAACCAGGACAAGACTGGCAGTAATGGGGTTGTCTGCATGCACGAGGGTGGAGTTGCTCCTTAATGTTCATGCTGTTCTGGAATTGATCTCGTTATTTTCTCTCCCCCAGCCTGGATTCATTTTCTCTTTAATGGCTGGGTTATAACATCTCTGCTTTCATGTGCTCCCCTAGGTCATCTGGGTGTTTACATGCATAGCATCCATCATCCTGGGTCTTGACCTAGGATTGCTTGCTGGCCTTCTGTTTGGATTACTGACTGTGGTCCTGAGACTTCAGTTGTGAGTAACACGAGAGAGAAGTTTTTTTATGAACCTTAAAATGATTCCTATGGTGTTTTGATAAGTACTAGAGAAACTGCTTCTCGTTAAGTGCTGTCTGCAGTGCCCTAATGTGGCAAAAGAGTTGGGATGTGGTTTGTGGTCTCTTCTTTGGCATGTTCCTAGCTATGCAATGGAGAGCAGCAGGATTTTGAAGGACATAGGCTAAAAGAGGGCAAAAAAAATCATTTGTTCATTTCTGCCAAATCTATTACAACTAATTCACTGCCAGTACAAGCAGTGTGTTTATGTAAGTGTATATACTTAGAAGAGAACAGAAGAGAGAATCACAGAAGGCAAGGGTAATGGAAAATAAAATCTGTAAAGGACCTAGGGCTCATCTCTTTCCATTGGTGTCAAGAGACTGTTAAATGTATGCTCTCCTGGGGTTAAAGGGGAGACGAGCCTTCTTCTTGCATCAAATTCTCCCATAAAAACAGGCTCCTCATTCTCTCCCATATGCTTGCCTCTCTTGATCTTCCTCACCTTAGCCTGGTGGCCAAGCCTACTGTGGGATTTCTTCCATCTGTGCAGGCCTGGTGTGTTTCCTCTACCTAGTGCTCCAATGCCTCCTCTAAGCACAGGATGTTTACTACTGTAGTGCACTAAATGGTTGCTTAGGGACCTCAAAGACTTTGTGTGCCTCCAAGAGCATCATCTAATTTGCTGTTGAGGGATATCTCAGGGACCAAGTTAGGAAGAATCTGGCTTTAGGATTCTGGGCCTCCATAATTTGCCTCGATTTTTCCTTTTTTTTTCTTGGTAATTTAATTTCATCATGGGCTTCAAGCTAAGAGATTGTTAGTACAGAACAGAGTGAGCTGAAAGGGAAACTCATGGTACATGGTCGTTGCTGATCTGGACCTGGGCTTTTAGCCAGCAAGGAGCAGTACCTTTCTTTGACTTGGGATTTAATTTCCACTAATTATAATGCTGATCCACTGAGTCCATTGTTGAAAGAATCCAAAACAGAATCCTCTTTCTTTGGGAATTGCATTTACTGTCTGCTTCTCGTCACACATGACAACTCATGGAATTTATCTGATGGTGAAAGGGCCAGAACATCCATAGTCCAGTTGATAGAAAGAAAGAAAGACAAGAAATAGAAGGCCTGGAAGTCTGCTTGTGGCCCTCCCAGGCCTCCTACTTCAAGGAAGCAAGCAAGCAACCAACCAACTACGTGCCAAGCACTGTGCTGGGTCCTGAGGATACAAGTCCAAAGAATAAAACAATCTCCATTTGCAGGAAGCTTACCTTCTAATGGGGGATACAGCAAATGTAATGGAAATATAAAAAGGATAAACATAAATAAGTGCAAAATCGTTAAATGCAAGGAAGTTTGGGAGAGAGGGAGGACATTAGTTGAAGGAATGGCTTCATTTCAGTAAAAATAGGCGTGATACTCAATAAGGACATGATTAAAAAGTCAACTATTTTTAGCTCAAGGAAATGATCAGACACAATGATTATCACTTACAATAATAAATCTTTATTGAGTACAAACCGAGTGAAAGGTGTTGAGCACTGAGGAGGCAAGGCCATTTACTAATTAGCTGACCTTCAGCAATTCTCTTTATCTGATTCTTTCTCAGTAAACAGAAAGGTTGGACTACATAACGTTTCAGGCTGCTTTATGCTCTGATAGTCTTCATTTGGGGGACCGCAGGAGGAATAGGATAAGGTCCCTGCCTTTACAAAGTTTATAGACTCTTTGAGGAGGCAGCCACGTCACATGAAAAAGATGCTGGATTTCAAGTCAGAGCAAGCAGCAAAGTGCAATGGAAAGAGATCAGAGGAGTCAAGCTTAAATCCCGGCTTTGTCATTTGCTACTCTGTGTGACTTTGGCAAAGTGGCTTTACCTTTCTGGGCTCAAGCTCCTCATCTAATAAAATGAAAGGTTTGGACTAAATGATCAGTAAGTTTCATTTTGGCTTTAAATCTACTACCCTAGACATCTTAAAAAAAAAAAGACAAAGAAACAACAATGTAAGGTAGCATGTGCTAAGTGGCAAGGAGATTTTAGGGGCAAAAAGTACCATGGGAGTTCACAGGAGGGAGCAATCAGCCTGGAGTGAGTGGGAGAAGGTGGAAAAGTTAAGCTGAGTCTGGAAGGAAAGAAAGTATTTGGAGAAGCAGAAGACTCATAGATCTAGCTCTGGAAGAGACCTTAGAAGCCAGCTAGTTCTAGCCCCTCATTTTATAGAGGAAGGAACAAGATGAGAAGAGGCTACAGGACCTGATCCCTTAAGGTGGTACAGCTTGTGACCCAGGCAGGTCAAGGCCAGGTAGTCTGCACAAAGGGACAGGAAGAATGTTGTAGATAGGTAGCATTGCCATCGACACTTTTCTAACGTTTCTCTCTTCCTCAGTTTTCTCATCTGTAAAATGGAGATAATAATACTACTAACTCAGGGTTATTTTAAGAATCAAATGAGTTAACATATGTAAAGCATTTCACAAACCTTTAAGTGATAAATAGGTGGCCCAGTGGATAAAGTCAGGAAAACCTGAGTTCAAATCTGGTCTCTGTGACCCTGGACAAGTCATTTAACCTCTAAGCCTTAGTTTCCTTATCTGTAAAATGTGGATAATAATAGCTCCTACCTCCCATCGATATTGTGAGGATAAAATGAAATAATAATTATAAAGTGCTTTGCAAGACTTAAAGCGCTACTTAAATGTTAAGCTAATATAATTTATTCAAACATACTTTAAAAGGTCTGTGATTTTATCATTGTGGGTACTTGTGCCACCAACGTAGATTATAGGCCCTCCATGATTAATGGGTCGTCATATTGCACTGTTAAAAAAAAAATCATCCGTTGGCTAACCTTCTGTTTTCTGACTTAATTAGGCTAGACTTCAAAGGACAGACCCAATACATTGCTACTGCCATCCTCAAAACCTTTCTGTTTTAATGGAGCTAAGAAGCACATGGTGTAGTGCAGAGGCCTTAGACCTAAAGTCACTAAGATGTGGCTTTGAATCCCTTCTCAGACACTTATTGTTTGTGAAGTCACTTCCCTTGGTGCCACTCGCCTCTCCTGTAAAGTGAGCTGGTTGGGCGGGATGACCTCTAAGGGCACTTTCAGCTCTAAATTTGTGATCCTCCCTTCCTGTGGTTTGCCAGAGCTTGCTCTCTAATAGAAGAAGCTTTGAGAACCCCCATCTTCCATGCTGACTGCCACAAGGCATCTGAGGTTGACTTTAAGTGGTGATCTTGAAGCATACGCAACAGCATAACAAAATGGAATCCATTCTTTCTCTCAGTCATAAAAAGGTGAGATGTTGGATCTCCTCTGACTTATACTTTCACACCAGATATCTGGTTCAGAGCTAAGAGCTAAGGAAAAGCTTCAACCTTCAGCAGCCAAGTGTGAATCTTAAATAACACCAAAAAAAAAAATCAGCTTTTTAGTGCCTGGTATTTAAGGGTTGGCTACTAGATGTTTTGTTCCAAAATTCGCCTATGCCAAAGTACCTTGACCATAGTTTCCTTTTCCTTAGTCCCTCATGGAATGACCTTGGAAATGTCCCTGGCACAGACCTCTACAAAAGCACCAAGGATTACAAGAATGTAAGTCCCTGTGTCTGACCTTCTCCATCATTTTTCTAGGTTTGGGTTTGTGGGATGAATACTTTCAGAGGCTGCTTCTTTTCACCAAAGCTCTAGGCATGAACTTCAGGTAACTTCTACCAGATGAATAACTTTGATTCCTATCCCTTCCCAACAAGCATTCTTAGGAATTTTTTAAAGGGGATATCCAGATTGCTTTTGATTTGGAGAGACCCTATGATTTGTAGGCTGTATGGTCTGATGAGGCAAAGAATTGAAGTGGGAGTTAGAAGCCCCATGTTTTAGTACCAGTTCTGCTATTTATTGACTAGCTGAGTGATCTTGACTAAACCACTTACCTTCCCTGGGTCCCTATGGCCAATGGGTAGAAGTTGTAAAGATGCCAGTTTAGTCTTGATACTATGGAAAATTTCATAGCTAGAACTGCCCAAAGTAGAATGAATGGCCTCAAGATACAGTGAGTTACTTGTGCTTTGGAGGTCTTCAAGTAGAAGCTAGAAGATCACTTGTCTATCTGGCTCATTATAGTAGGGATTCCTTTTGGCTATGGGGTCAATTCGATGACTGCTAAGGTTGCTTCTAGCTCTTCAGTTTTATGATTCTGTTTCCTGATCTATAAAATCAGAAGATTTCTACTAGATGAACTCTAAAGTCCTTTTTTAAGCTCTGAGATTCTATGTTTCTAGAAATATTGCTTTTGGTTCTTCAATTATTGTTGTATTGTGACCCATGATAAGTAAGACTCCTACAATGTCACTAGGATTTAATTTCTTCATCTCTCAATGGGAGTCATTCAATTTATTGCTAGTTATAATTGTTTTAAAAAGATTTTTGACACAGTCAAGAGTTAGCTATATTGCAGACTAAAATCTTTGTCAAAATACAAAATTGAAAATGTCCAATACAAAGAAATGAAACAGTTAGTTGCCAAGCTCTGGAGTACTTGTGAAGGATTGCTCTTCCAAGTCCCTGCAGCTTTTAAAATTAAATGCATGAGGCTTGAAATTAATTGCAGAAATACTTTCCTCTCCAAACTGCAGGTCGATGAACCTGAAGGAGTGAAGATTGTTAGCTTTTATAGTCCTATTTTTTATGGCAACATCGATGGCTTTAAAAAATGTCTCAAATCCACAGTAAGTAGTGCATCATTGGAAATTTATTTAATTTTCTTTGACTAGTCATTTATCAAACATGCATTTAGTGTATACTTTGTGCATGACACTGTAGTGGTGGTTAAAAAATGTAACAACACAAAGTCCCTATCTTCAAGTAATATTTGATTGAGAAGGTAAGACATGCAGATAATGAAAATTTATATATAAATAATCTCAAAGTTAAATAGTATAAGACATCTTGCCCCTTTGAACATGCTCCCTCTTTAATCTTCACCCTCTCCTTATCCCCTGGCTCTTTCCCTTCTTCCTTTAAATGTTTCCACATCTCTTCCATTCTTTAAACAAACAAAAAAAAACCTTCACTTGGTTCTACCATCCTCTCAAGCTATCATCCTAATTTTCTGTTCTCTTTCTCAGCCAAACTCTTAGAAAAAGCTATCAGTACTCTTCATTTCTTTCTCATTTCCTACTCCTCAACCTCTTGCATTCTGGTTTCCATCCCTGCTTCTTTGTAAAACTGCTGTCTTCAGGGTCACCCAATGGTCTCCTTATTGTTAAATCTAATGACCTTTTTTCAGGCCTCATCATTCTTGACCTCCATAGCATGACAGTGTTGACTACTTGCCTTCTTTTCTTCTGGATCCTTTCTGGGTTTCATGACACTGCTTTGTTAGGGTTCTTTTCTTACCTTTTGAAACATCCCTTTGCAGACTTTTTTAGGATCATAATCCATATCACTCTTCCACCACCCCCAGCTATATCCTAGATCTTCTCTTTTTTCTAATCACTATTGACTCCTTCAAAACTATCTCTCCTTTTGATCTCAGAAGCTCCCATGAATTCAACTATAATCTCTTTTTAAATTTAATATTCAATTTTTTCCTCAATTATGTGTAAAAACAATTTTAACATTTTTTTTTCAAATTTTGAGTTCCAAATTCTCTTCTCCCCTCTCTCCCTCCCCCCTATTGAGAAGGAAAGCAATTTGACATAGGTTATACATGGGTAGTCATGCAAAACACATTTCTATGTAAGTCATGCTGTGAAAGAAAACACAGACAAAAACCCCATAAAAATAAAGAAAGTAAAGAAAAAAGTATTTTCGATCTACATTCAGGCCCCACCAGTTCTTTCTCTGGAGAAGAACAGCACCTTTCATCATAAATCCTTCAGAATTGTCTCAGATCATTGTACTGCTAAGAATAGCTAAGTTATTTATTCACAATAGATCATCATACAATATTGCTGTTACTGTATATAATGTTCTCCCGGTTCTGTTCATTTCACTTTGAATTCGTTCATGTAAGACTTTTGAAGTTTTTCTGAGAGTATCCTGTCATTTCTTATAGCACAATAGTATTCCATCACAATAATATACAACAATTTGTTCAACTATAATCTCAGTGCAAATGATTCCCAAATATTCAGCCCACCTTGTCTGAGCTCTAGACTCATATCTTTACCTGGATGCCCTAGAATTTCAAATTCAACACATACAAAACTGAGGTCAGGTGTTGTTTTGTTGCTCCTAACTCTGTCTTCCTGTATCCGTTCCCTTCTCTCCACACATACCACGACCACTCTAGTTCAGGTCCTTATTATATCTCACTTAGACTATTGCAATAATCTCCTAATTGGCCTCCCTTCAACTAATCTTCTCCCAGTCTATCCCCCATACAGTTGATATTCTTAAAAAATAGATCTGACCATGTCACTCCCTTCCTCATGAACCTTCTGTGAGTCCTTATTATCTCTAGGACAAATGCAAACCCATCTTTTTGGCATTTAAAGCCCTTCATAATCTGTTTCTAGTTGATTTCTTCAGGCTGAATACATATCACTCCCCCTCAGATGGGTGGTCTAGTCAAACTGGATTACTCACTGTACACACATTCCATCTCCCACCCCTGCACCTTTGAACAGGCTGTTCTTCCCTCCTGTTCTCCATCAACCCCATCCCTGAAATGATCTCTTTTCTCACCCCTACCTCATGAAACCCATAACTTCCTTCATGGCTCAGTACAAGTGCCAACTTCTAGAAGAGACCTTTTCCTGATTCCCCCAGTTGTTAGAGCCTTCCAGTTACTTTATATTTATTTTCCTATCTTTAATTTACTTATCTGTGTATGTGTTGCATTTTCAATCCCAGTAGAATGCATCTCCTTGAAAGGAGCCAAGCCTGGAATGCAATAGGTGTTTAATAAATGCTTGTTGAATTGAATTTGTAAAAATGATGATCCACATGTTTTAAGTAACTTACTTCTTTTCAAAGGTTGGGTTTGATGCAGTTCAAGTTTACAATAAGAGGCTCAAAGCACTGAGGAAGATACAGAAACTCATTAAAAAGGGACAGTTACGAGCAACAAAGGTGAAGATGCATTTTTCTTTCTTCTCCCCACTTCTTTCTTCACTTTTATGAAAGTATGTTGAATGCCTAAAATTGACATCTAACTATTTTGGTACCCAGATGCTTACAATCAGGTCATATGGACAAATAGAACATCTGTGCTGAGTCTTTTTAGGTTCTGAAAGAAGACAGATTACTTCCATAGGAATTTAGAGTAAAATCTTCCATCACAAAGAGTATGTATCTCGTTTTTTAAACTTTATTGTTAATGGAAGGCATACAAAGATAGAAAAATAAATCCACTTCTGCATTAGAAAATCACTCATGATGCGGGATAAGCTGGAACAATGGCTACAGCACAGGCTTTGAAATAAGGAGACCAAGGCTTTACACCAGGCTCTGCTACAAACTGGTTGTGTGATGTTGGGCAAGTGAATTTTTCTCTCTCTGATTCTCAGTTTTCTTGTCTTCAAAAAATTGTGGGGTTGGACTGGATTATCTCAGGTCCCTTCCTGCTCTACTGGTTCATGATTCTAAGATGTCCACAGACTTCGGTGATCATTCATTTCTATGCTGATTATCTCAATGATGTCTCTGTTGGTAAAGTCTAGCGCATGGTCTTCTAAATCTGTCTGTCCCTACTGCTCTTTATTTTTTCTTTCTGCAGAAGGCTCAGAGTTTGGGTTTAGGAGACCTTTACTTCTATTATCTGTGTTTTTCTACTTTTTATTTTCAATTTACTTTATTATATTTTCTATGTTCTTCTAGGGAAAAACATATGCCTATGTAGTGAAATAAATTGAGAGTATTACTTGGAATCATAGAATTTTAGAGCTAGACAGGACATTAGATACAGTCTCATCAAATCTACTTATGTTAAAAATGAAGAAAGTGAAAGCCCTGAGTCTTGCCCAAAGTCATCCAGCTGGTTGGGACAGAATTGAGCTTAAGTTCCAGGTCTCTCGCCTCCTGAACTAATGTTCTTTCCATGATACCATATATCCACATAACAGCCATCTCTCTTTTGGGGTTTCAGCTTTATAGAATAAAAGAAGAAAAGTGGTAGAATAGATAGATGGATGGGCTTGGACTCTGGAAGACATAGGTTCAAATGCTGCCTTTGGCAATTTACTAACTATGTGACACCAGGTAAGGTATTTACTGTTGTAGCCTGTTTCCTCATTTGTAAGATGGGAGAAATGAATGAATGGACCAACAAATACTTATTAAGGATTTACTATGTGCAAAGCACTGGGGGCACAAATTAAAGTAAGATAGTCCCTGCTCATGAGAAGCTCACTTTCCAATGAAGGAGACAACACATAGAAGGTTTCACTCAAATGGAAAGGTAACATAGTCCTTAGAGCCCAGGGGCAAAGTGATTGGTAAAGCATCTTTTTTTTAAAAAAATGTCATTTCTACTGATAAAATCAAATCCATTTCTGACATAGAACCATTCAACAGTGCCAAAGACTTTGGTGGTGAGAATTTTCTTTTCTGGATTTTCAGTGGCTGTTGAGGAGGCTGGGCTCCAGAACCTACCACAGGGGTTGCTTCCCAAGATGATGGCTGGGCTAAAAGTGGGACTGAGGGTCCAGGGGGGTACTACCATCCACAGTCAGTAGTGCTGGTGGCAAGGAAGGTCAGCTCCCTACCCTCAATGATGGCTGTGGTGCCCAGGCTGGAAGGAGGGACCCATGGTCTGGAGGCACTGCTATTACCAAGGCTTCAGTTCAGGGTCTTAAGCTGTCTCTGCCGGGTTCTTGTAGGAAAGTAGTGATTGAGGCCAAGACAGTGGTTTGACTTGCCTGGCAAATGGTACTTGTGTGTCAAATCAGATAATATATGTAAAGTATTTTGCTTTTGCTTAAAGTGTTATTACTATTATCTTAAATTTATTTGAAGCAAACTTTGGAAAGAGATTCCCAATTTCACACGTAACGTTCTTGGAATTGTCTTACTGGTTTAGAATGGCATCGTCGGTGACGTCTGTGCTACTAATCAGGGTTTTGAGCCTGATGAAGATCCTGAAGACCTGGATATCCCAACTAAGGAAATAGAGATCCGAGTAGATTGGAATTCAGAGCTTCCTGTCAAAGTGAACGTTCCCAAAGTTCCAATTCACAGCCTGATTCTCGATTTTGGAGCAGTATCATTCTTGGATATTGTTGCAGTGAGATCACTACGAATGGTATAGTTTTCTTTTACTTTTGTACAAAAAATCCTAACTACTGGCTTGCAGACAGTTTCCAGCTAATTCATTAATGTCTCTAATTGTACTGAGCTCTGGGAAAATAGAATGGGGTGGGGTTAGCCCAAAGATGGTTACTATTCTATTTATTTTCTGTGCGTAGGATATGGAGTTTAGGGATCTGTGATAGAGTACAAAAAACCCTGCCCTTGGAATCTGAAAACCTGGGTTCATATCCCAGCCCTGCAACCTGCTCAGCTGAGTGACCATGGGCAAATCACTTGACCTCTCTGTCTTACCCCCCTCATTTGTAAAATGACCCTTTACAAGGACTAGATGGTCTCGGACAGCCTTTCAAGCTCTAAAATTCTGTGAGACAAAGCTTTTGTTGCCAATGGGCCTACTTTTTATATGGAGACTGGCAGGGTGAAGGTCGTCAGGTGCTAGGATTTAGAGGGCCAGATAGTAATGAAAAACAAGCAGTTATCAGAACAGTTAGATATCAGAACAAGTAATAAATCAGGAATCCAGAAAGTCAAGGAAGGAGTTGAAGAGTATGCAATTAATTATCAAAGGTCAGGAATAGACAAGAGATCAGAAATCCAGGTAGGCAAGCCACAGATTAAGAGATACATGAGCATCAGATTTTATGATGGGCAAAAGGTCCAAAATCCAGGTGGACAGATAACTTGGGTCAAAGCTCAGGCAATCAGCCTATGGTGACACAAATATTAGTATGAGGTAAGCTCTAGTTCAGCTAGAATTCAATAGTCCCTGCCTGTAAGGACTTTACATTCTACTTGGGGAATATCACAGATAAGTAAAAACAAGATAATTTAGTAAGGGACAGGAAGAGCAACCAGGAGAATCAGGGAAGTCTTCCTATAAGAAGTAGAATCTGAGTCTTGATGGGAAGCCAGGGATTCTAAGGGGTAGAGGTGAAAAAGAAGTGGATTCCAGGAATGAGGGAGAGCCATTGCAAAAGAACACAGGCAGGGGCAGCTAGGTGGCATGGCCTGCCCTGGAGTCAGGAGGACCTGAGTAAAACATGACCTCAGACACTTACTTGCTGTGTGACCCTGGGCAAGTCACTTAACCCTGATTGCCTCAAAAAAAAAAAAAGGAACAGAGACAGAAGACAAAAGAGCAAGCAAGCCAATTTGACTAGAAATATAGGGTGTGTGAAGAGAAGTAATGAGAAATATCTGGAAAGGTATGAAACCTCACTATGAAGGGTCTGAAATGCTATGCTGAGGAGTTTGTAGTTTATCTTAGAAGCAATAAGGAGCCACAGAAACTTCTTGAATGGGAGAATGACAAGGTCAGGTCTTTGCTTTAAGAAAATTATTTTAGCAGCTGTGTGGAAGATGGATTGAAGAGAGGGGAGACTTTATGAAATTGAGAAGAAAAGAAAACATTTTATACTTAAATAGATTTTTTTTCTCAATATATGTCTACATATTAACCATGAGGCAACTGAAGGGAGGTTTTGGCTTTTATTCTATTTAAAACACACACACACACACACACACACACACACACACACAGCCTTACTGTTAGTTGCCCTTCCAAATGAAAGGGAGTGAAAAAAGTGAATTTTTGGTTTTCATAGACATTATTTATTTATAATCAGAGTTTTGTTGGAGACATCTCATACCTGCTTGGAAGAGCCAATTATTACAATTTTAGGGACAGCACTGACACCTTGGGAATTGGCAACTGCCACAAACGTGGGCTTGAATAATTATTTTGCTAATGGTCCAAAATTAAGAAAATTTTAATGGAGAAAATTTGATAACGTAGATTAAACAATATATGAGTGTTTTCAGAGAGCTATTTATTAAACATTTACCAACACACCCTTACTTATAATGTATGTATTAGTACATACCCTCATTATTATAAAATATTATAGATAAATGTCTCTGAAAAAATGAAGTTTATACACACATACATCTGCATATGGCAACAGAAACACTCACTCAAATACAACTGTGAGCTGATCATCTCTTCTCCCATTAGTGTGAGTCAGATAAAAACAATCAACCCCCCTCTCAGTACAGTACTCATTCCAATAGGTCTGGCACAATCTATTCACTTAAAGTCCTATTGTCTGTATAAATTTCTTTCATCTACAAACTTATTGGAATCACCAAATTTCACAGCTGGAATGGACTTTCGGGGCCATCTAATCCAATCCATACCTCCCATATACCTAATGAAAGAACATACCCAACAAGACCTTTACTGCCTCCTGAGGGATAGTTCTGTTAGGAAGTTTTTCACTTAATCAAGCCTAAATTTGACTCCTGATTACTTCCACCCATCACTCTTAGTTCTGCCTGCTGGATCCAGTCAATCAGCTAACATTTATTAAATGTCTACTGTGTGCCAAATGCTGGGTATACAAAGAAAGGCAAAAAACAATCCTTGCTCTCAAGGAGCTCAGAGTCTAATGGAGGAGGCAACATGCAAACAACTATGTACACAAAAGTCACATAAACGATAAATTGGTGGTGGTGGGGGGACTAATATTGAGGACTGGGAAAGGCTTCTTGGAAAAACTGGAACTTTAGCCAGACTTGAAAGCCAAGGAAATCAGGAGGTAGAGATGAGAATAGTTTCAGTCTAATAAAGCCTCTTCCGGATGATGTTTTTTTAAATACTTAGGTATTTAAGCTACCTGCCCCTGCCTGTGTTCCTTTGCTAAGGCTCTCCCATATTCCTGGATTCTACTTCTTCACCTCTACCTCTTGGAATGCTTAAATACTTAGGTCCAACATAAACCTTTTCTCAAGGTTAAACATGCCCAGTTCCTTCAACAATTTTCATATGACATGAATCTGAAGCCTTCTGCGTTTTTTATTTTTTAAGCTTTTTGACTAGGCAGTGGGGTTAAGTGACTTGCCCAGGGTCACACAGCTAGTAAGTGCCAAGTGTCTGAGGCCACATTTGAACTCAGGTCTTCCTGACTCCAAGGCTGGAACTCTATCCACTGCACCCCCTAGCTGCCCCTGAATCTGAAGCCTTTTGCATCCTGGTTGCCCTTATTAATGTCCATTCTAAAATGGGTTGCTCAGGACTGACCATAATACTCAGGATGTCACCTGCACAGGATGAAGTACAGAAGGAATATCGCCTCCCTATTCCAAGAAGTGGAATACAAGCCGTTGTTATTTTTTTAATTGCTGTAACACATTGTTGACTTGTACTGAGCTTTAAGTCCACTAATATTCCTAGATCCTTTTTCAGAGGAACTGATGTGTGACCATGACTCACCTATCTCGTATTTGTGAAGCTTATTTCTTGAACTTAAGTGTAAGATATTGCATTTGTCTCCATTACATTTTATCTTATTGAATTCTGCCCAGTTTTCTAGCCTGCCAAGATCTTTTCGCATCCTGCCAGTCATTCAGTACACCAGCTCTCCTTCATAGGTTTGTGCCAATTCAAAATTCTGTTTATTTGAGGAACCTTTTGGAGCTGGGTAATATTTTAATGATCAGATGGTATAGAAATGTGGCTATATTAATTCACCCCCATAAGACTCATGTATGAATTTACATCAACATTAAAAGTTCCCTTTTCTTTTCAGATTGTAAAAGAATTCCATAGAATTGATGTGAATGTGTACTTTGCGTCACTTAAAGGTAAGTGTATGTATGTGTGCATATACTTATTCACAGTTTCCTGCCCTTCCTCATCCCAGCCCCGTGGAATTTGGGGATTTTGTGTGAGTACCTTTCTGAATGTGAAAACATGCAACTTCCTTTTTACTCAGTAGCGCTGGGAATGCATTGAAACCCATGCTCTGGTGACTGGGTTGCATCAGTGAGAAAGTATAAAAGGGTGAGATGTGGGTAGAGATGGCCTTCTCATTGAATGAAGACTTACCTCAAATGGACATCTTTCCCCTCACCCTCCACTCTCTCTGATGAAAAGCTTCCTTGAGGGTGAAGAGGTTTACCTCGGGACAGGGACACTTTTAAAGATACAGAATGATCTTTCACTCTGTCTCCCCACCCCCACCAATATTTCTCTCTCTAGAGAGAACATGTATAATTTTCTTCTATGTCCAATGCACAGTATTTTCATTCTTTTGTAACATAAGTAGAAGACATGGGCCTAGCTCCCAAGAATATTATAATATTTTGCGGGAAAAGGACATATAGGCAGTTCTGCTATAATGAACAAATGCGTTCTCCAAAAGCACTCCACTATGAAAAGTTGTGCAATAAGAACCAGAGAGCCTACGGAGGGATGGGATTAAGGGCATGATGCTCAAAAACTTTGTCAGTGTTACATTAAAAAAAAAATAGGACCCTAATTTTTTTTAAAAAAATAGCAGCATAGTTTTATACATGTTAGATGGATAAGAAATACACAAATACTGAAATAGCAGCCCCAGAGTGGAGTCAAGATGATGGAGTGAAAGAAAATATTTTTGCCTAGTTTACCCAGCACATGTCCTCTACAGCAACATAGAAAATGGTCAGACTAATGTCTGATGGGAGAAAGTCAAGAAAAGTCACAGACACATGGGTGGGGTCTGGCCAACAGTGCAGAGTAGAGAAAAGGGAGTCCCTGGGAAGGAAGCCCTGGGGCAGAAAGATCTCAGGGTGCTAGAAGCAGGAACAGATGCCATCTTGAAGCTCTGTTGCCTATTACCCAGTTGTGGGTCCCAGATCCAGGGTAGAAAGGAACAGTTCAAGGGAGCACAGAACCTAGCTGAGTACTGAGCAGGAACAAGCACCAGAAACTTAGCTATGTGACTGAGCCCAGGAGCAGAGCTACTATGCAGTTCTAGCCTTTAGTCCAGCATAAAAGAATGCAGTGGAATAACCAGGGGAGGATGTCCCAGACTAAAGGGGAGCCAGCAGTTCCGTCACTCTAAATCTGCACAATCTCCCAGAGGGCCAACAGTCACTGATTTCAGCAAGAGTCTACTGAAACCCAACCACACACAAGCCAACAGACTCAAACTTGGGTCAAGAACCTGCAGAGCCCAGACCAGGAGAGCCGTGGACAGACTTTCCTGAACACACCACTTTGGGAGCACTGAAAACTCGCAAGTCCCCAGACTGGATTGTGACAGCATCAGGAGAACATAAAAGGACAGGAGCTCAAGCCAGACATCTGCCCCTCTTCTCCAGAAATGAGCAGAGCCCAACACTAACATAAACTCCAAAATTAAGAAATAGGCTGGAAGAATGAGCAAACAAAAAAAAGAACCTGACTGCAAAAAGCTGCTCAGGTGAAACAGAAGCTCAAGAAACACTAGCTAGTGGCAAGGGCTATGGCCTGAGGCTGCTGCTCCACCTGAACCCCAGGCTGCACAAGCAGGTTGGGCAGGCTGCCACAATTCTGAGCCTCAGGGCTGGAGATCTGGCGGAAGGGGGTGGGGTAGGTGAAGGGGGCAGAAGTGACTCAGACCAGCCCTTCTCTACTCACAGCTCCCACTGCATCAGAAGAAATACAATAAATATGGCCTTTTACCTTGACAAAGACCTGAAGATGCAGCTTGTAAGTTATTATGAAGTGGCACAGTTTTTTGTTCTTTTTTGTGTGTGTTCTCTTGCTGTTTCTGGAAGAAGAAATCTTGCAAAAGCAAATCTGAGTTACATATTTTGTCACCAGGGGCATGGCTGATCTGCAATTTCATCAACATCTCACTGGCTCTCATACTTGCCCTTCACATGCCATAATTTTAACAAGTGGGATGGCGGAACTCAATTGGTCAGGAGTCCTCTGATCAATCCCCCACTCTCACTATGTACACATAGGAAGCAAACAAAAAATAGAAGAAAACATTATATAATCAAGTGCTAAATTTGTATAGAGAACCAATATATACACATACATACTCACCTACACAAATATACTGAATTATTGAAAGTAGTGTAAAGGGGAATAATAGCTATCTGGAGAGGCAAAAGTTTTCTTATAGGAAATAATGTTTTTAGTCAGAAAAAAATGTATTAGGGTGTCTGTGCATAAAGCCAAGATCAGAATAATGAGGCTAATTAGAGTAATTAGACTAGCTAGTACATGAACATCTTGCATGTGTCGGGAGAATGTAAGCTCTTGGAACATCACGTGCATCTATTTTGTACGTGTTTTACAGACTTCACTATTTACATGCAGTGTACCCCCATTAGAAGGTAAACTCCTTGAAGGCAGGGATTGTTTTTTGCATTTCCTTGTCTCCTCAGAATTTAGCACAGTGCCTAGCACATAGTAAGCATTTAATGCTTGTTGATTAACAAAACATTTTATTTTCTTAAGAAGTTTTTATTGGTGTCTTCTGTTTTTTACATCATCATAGTTACCCCCCAGTATTCTTACAGCCCTCCTCTTCTCAGAGAACCATCTCATATGACAAATATTATTAATTATCTTTAGGCAAGAAATACATAAGCACTTAAGTACATGAACTCAAGGCTGTGTTATTAATTTATTTGCAAGGCAATTGGGATTAAGTGATTTGCCTAGGGTCACACAGCCAGTAAGTGTCAAGTGTCTGAGGCTGAATTTGAACTTGGGTCCTCCTGACTCCAGAGCCAGTGCTTTATCCACTGTGCCACCTAGCTGACCCAAGGCTATGCTATTTTTAAAAATATGTGTGTGTGTGTGATTATTTTAGGGCTATCGCCAATCAGTCAACAAATATTTATTAAATGCTTATTATGCAAGGTGCTAAGCCCTGGGGGGGAATACCAAGAAAGGCAAAAATGCTATGTCTTCCCTGAAGGTCACTTTATAACAAGAGCATTGACATCCAAAGAACTACAATGTAAGCTAGGTAAATGTTTAAGACTGGTCAATGTTTGAAAAATATCCTTGCTTCCTTGGAAATACAAACTAAATGTATGCATTGATTTTTGGAGTCAGAGGCAAGAAGATATTAATAATCTGCTTTGATGGTATGGAGTTGTACTCTCATTACTCTTAACTTGAACATATTTTCTTTTTTTATATTTCATTCTAAGACCATGTGATAGCAAAGTTGGAGCAATGTGGCTTCTATGAAGATAATATTGTAATGGACATGTTCTTCCTGACTGTTCATGATGCTGTATTATACATACAGAGCCAAGTGAAAATCCAAACTGTTCAAGATCCTATCTTGAAAAAGGTAAACATTTAATCTCTGTGGGTAGAAAGCTTTATAAAAGCCATTTACTCAAATAAGAAGACACCCATACTAGACGTGGTATGTTTAACCATATGTGCTTAAAAACTGGACATTAGCAACATATTGTCTTTTCAAAAGACTACATGTGAAACTCAGTTTTGTAAATGGAGTTAAAATACTTTAAATCCTGCAATTCTTTGCTACTTGGATTAGATTAGAAATGAACACAAAAACGGTCTACCAACCCCCAGGCCAGAGAACCATGAGGATCTGTTCAAATTTGATATTTTCTTCACAAAAGAAGTCCACTGGTTTTTTAAGGGTTTCCATATTGTGAACCTTCTCACCAAATACATAGGGGATCTGGACTCTGAAAAAATCTCTGGTCTGATCTGGCTTTAAGACCAGACCATCGAGTAACCTCAGCATTCAGGATCCTATTAAATTTGTTTAAGGAATGGACTACACGCCACAGTGATCCTACCTTTATTTAGAATTGTATTCAGCATTCCTTGTATCTGAGGGCAGGCCATGACCCTGTTTTATACTTATTTGCGTCTCCATTGCCATTCCTGGCATGTGTCAGGTACTCATAGTAAATATTTGTCATTGACCTCTTGGTTTTCCAATAGTGTTATTTGAGTATGATTTGGGATAGGCCAGAAGATACAGGAATCTATACCCTACATCTCTATCCCACTTCAATGCTTCTATGAGGGCTGAACCCAAAGCAAATGCTCTGACTCTAACTCTGTATGTACTTCTAACGTTCCCAGTTTACCCTCATCATTTCTGTGTGGATTTATAGCTCTTGTCATGTCTATAGCAGCAAAATTAACTAGGTTACTGGAATGGGTAATTATGTTTCCAGTGAATATTAACTTTATTCTCTTTCTCAAGATTAATCTGATACAAGAATATAAAGATCCTCTTGAATTAATGGACACAGAGGTGAATGAAGATGTTCTTGATGTCCAGGATGAGGTATGATTATTATTTCTTCAAATAAAATAAAATCATTTATTATATTTTATAATGAGTTGAAAAGCACAGATTATGAACGTCTGATTAGAAACTAACCAAGGAGAAATATCTACAAAAAGTATTCCAAGGAATCATCCTAACTCTGCTTATATAGTTCTTCCATTTTTGAAAGTTTACGCTATGAAAATATTATTTGTTTGTACCAAACTCTGCCTCCCTATAGCTCCTACCCTGGTCCTATTTCTGCCCTCTGGAGCAATATATGATATCTTTTCCCTCTTCTACATTGATGTCACCCTGTTCATATATCTCCTAGGCTTTTCTTCTTTAGGCTAAACATCTTCAATATTCTCAACTTCTGTTTATGAAAATTAGTTCACATTTATCTTTGTTTTTAAAGAAAAACCATGGCTAAAATCATTAGGATAATTTTGATTTCTGATTCTTACACATAGCTAACTGACCCAGCTTTGTTCTGTTTACAAAAGTAACATTGGTAGCAAAAGTAGGTGAAAAGCATGTTACATATATATGTATGTGTACACATACATTTCAATTAAATTTTTTATAATCACAAGATAAAACACAGGTGAACCCCTGCTTTAAGAAGATCCACAAATAAGACTTTAAAAAGCTGATAAATATGGTGTATTACATGCTTTTAAGGAGGAGTCAGGGCATAGTCCCTTTATATCATTTGTTTCTCTATTTCATTTACAATATGATTAGATTTACAAAAATTCAGTTTGTATTCAACTCTTTAGAAACACATCTATTTTGAGATATACCACAAATGAGTACATTTGAGTGAAGTTTATGTAATCTGGAATCAGGAAAAGAAGACACAGATTCCAGTTAAATTCAGATGTATCAATCAACTTTCTTTGTTTCTGTAGGCAATGCGTAGACTTGCTTCCTGATGGAAGGCTACTGAAGTTGGCACCACCATGGACTGTGTGGCAATACTATGCAAGCATTTTCTATCTTGACTATTTCTTTGAATTTTAAAACTCATTTGTTTTCTATTGCATATTTTTAAAATATTTGCATGTTGTTCTCCTAAGACTGTCATTAAGCCAGGTCTATAAACAGTTTGCCTCTGTTTTGCACAGAATGGCTGAGAAAAACAATTCAAGCAAATTTTAAGAGTATATGCTGAATATACAGTGAAGATTCTTCCACGAAAAGGGGCAGATATGCTAGCAATATTAAAGGGGGTGCATGTTTATTTGCAATCTGGGAAGGTAGTGATGCATTTGGAATGACTAACATTAATTTTTTGTGTTATTCTGAAGCTCAAAGAAAAGAAAGTATCCATTTTTTTCTTCATCACTATAGGCAGGTCTGCCTGAAGCATAAAGCAATGAAAAATAAAGACCACAAATATTTACACTGATTCATCAACCAAGGCAGAAATGACATAGTAGTCTATTCTGGCAATATAATTAAAGCGAATCTTTTTTTCCCCCTTAAATACAAAGTTAGCACATGATGAAGAAATGATACTATCTGTGAATAGAAACCTAACCAGAATTCAGACGCTATAAAATTGTGTTGATGTACTTATGAAAAATGTATTTCTGCAGAGAGGTATATGAAAGTTGAGGGGAAGGGGCAGTCTATGACAGAATTATGCATCTTTTTTAAAAAAGTGATAATTTTAGGGAATATACAATTAATTAATCATAGTTGAAACAAGATAAAATATGAATGTTTCTAGGGTCAGACAGCCTATATCATGTTTAAAAGACAATTGTTATGCCTTTATCCACGTGCATATTCAGTATGTGGGTATTATGTATGTTTGTTTTTAGAAGTCATTGTTAATTTGAGTTAGATATTGCAGGCTTTTCTAAAATCTAACATTAAAATAACTGTATGAGCACTTTAAAATTCAGATCTTTTAAAAGAAAAGCTATAATTATATTAACACTTATAGGTACATTGCAATTCAAAGAGTTATGCTTTTGTAAGCTTTATTTAAAATTTCTTGCATTTTATATAAAAAACTAGGTTTTGGTAAATCCTGAATACATAATATATAAAACCAAAAAATATATCAGAGAAAATATTCAATGTTGAAAATTATTAAACTGTGAAAAATACTACCTTTTAAGATGCTCTAAAATTTTTTAAAGAGATTTTGGTATAGACAGTAAGTGGATACATGTATGTACAAATATACACACACAACTGAAAAAAATCTAGATTTTTAGACAACAAATTTTATTATTATGCTTACCTAATATTTTCTGAGGGCCATTTTGTGAGCCATACTGAAGTACAATTGGGTCTGAATTTCTTTCATCCTAGAAGTTAAGGAAGTTGCACTTAGAGAAAAAAAAATAAAACTGCACAGCCACCAATTTGAGAATACATCTTTTTGAAAAGCTAAGTTTTATGCTTGGCATATATGTGTGAAATTCTCATATGTCTGGTGGCTAAGCATAAATGTCCAAAGGCAGAATCTGTCTTTGTTGTTACTGTTTTTCTCCTGAAAAACAAAAAGAAATAATAATCATAGGATTTAGAACTAGAAATAGACCTTAGAGATCATCTTGTCCAAGAAAACTAAGGCCTGAATAGATTAGATGATTTGCCCAAGGTCATAGACAGCAGGAGGTAATGGACCTGGGATTTGAACCCAGGACTTCTGACTCTAAATTCAATGCTCCTTCACTGTAACATGCTACTTTTTCTTGGTATGCCAGGTCTGAATGGTTAAATGAAAGCACCATAAAATCAAGAAGTATTGCTTAAATGCCTAAATGAGCTAAAACATATCGTAATATACGAGATTCTTTCATGTTCCATAGGTAACTGGGCCTTTACTTGACTTTATATTTCTTCTGAATCTTGGACACAGGACATACTTGTCTATTTAGGGAGCATTTTCCTAGCCCTAAAGAGCTCGCTCTAAAATGATAGTCTTGAGGAGGAAAAAAAGTATGCCTCTGTTTAATAGGGGGAATATGTAGTTTGTTTTTTATAAGAAGGAAAATACCAAAGTCACATATTTCTCAGTAAGGTTAAAGGTTTGTAAAGGTGAGCGTCCATTTGTGAGCATTGCAAGCCATACGTGACGTGGGTGTTTTCCAAACAGGTTCTAAGAATGCCGTTTCCCTGTGCATTTTTGTGAATGGTAAACATCTCCATAGCTGTACCTTCACTGAAAGTTTTACTTGAAACTAAAGGCCTATTTTGTTCTATTTTAAACTTTTATGGATAAGATTTTGATATTGTAAAGAGATTTAAACAATAAGGAAATCATATACAATATTTGCACATATTTTTGTTAATATAAAGTTACCTTTTAATTGACTGTGATGTGTTCTTTAAAATTATTAAACATAATATGGAAAACAAACTTCTTGCTTTTCCCAATTTGCCTTTTATTGCTGCCATTCCAGCATTTTTCACACCATTTCATACCTACATTTCCATCTGGCTTGTGTGAAACTTCATTTATAAAAGTGGCATTTACTGCCATGGTTGTTTTTAAATCTTGAATCCTGCCTAAATCTGACTATGAGTTTGTGTAGTTGTATTAATGATAATAATTTATGGGAAACTAGATTAGGGATCATGAGGTCCAGGGATGGACAATCATTTTTTATTAGCACTGACCCTAGGAAAAATGAATCATGGTTCACATATAAGTAAGAAAAGCAATTAACTGAGTAGGGCTTTTTTCCGCCAACCTGGTGAGAAATTCATCTCAAAATAAGAACAGATAATATACAATTATACATATATAATCCTTGTGGTGGGATACAAGCTTATAAAATTAAGGACAAGGTAACCTCTTCGGACATGTTACACTTCAAATGACCCATACTCCAACTCAGAAACCAAAAATATCTATCTCCACTGGACAACCCAGGTTAGCAC